TGCCTGCTTCCTGCCAGGCTTTTGCTCTTATGGGCTGGGGCGGGGGGTGGGGTTGAGGAAGTAGCTAGCAGCACGTCAGCCATGCTCGGAGGGGACTGAGGCCAGGATAGCAGCCCTCCGTGAGGACACACTGCTCTTTCTACAGCCGAATTTAGCATCTGGACCAGGGAAGCTGGCGCCGGGGGCCTGGCCATTGCTGTCGAGGGCCCCAGCAAGGCCGAGATCTCCTTCGAGGACCGCAAGGACGGCTCCTGTGGCGTGGCCTATGTGGTCCAGGAGCCAGGTGCTGAGGGCGTGCCCAGGGCCACGGGAGGTGGCATCGGGGTGTGGGTGTCAGTCTGGGTCTGAGCGGACGGCTCCACCTGGCTCCCGCCCTCCCCTCTGAGGTCCCAGGGCCACCCAGGCTGTTTGTGGCAAGTGGGGGCCTCCCAGCACGCCCTCTGTGCTCTTTTCCTGCCCAGGTGACTACGAGGTCTCAGTCAAGTTCAACGAGGAGCACATCCCTGACAGCCCCTTCGTAGTACCTGTGGCTTCTCCGTCTGGCGATGCCCGCCGCCTTACTGTTTCTAGTCTTCAGGTGAGGCACCGAGAGAAACCGCCTGCCTGGGGCTCCTGGGCCCGGCCAGACCAGAGCCGTCGCACAGAGCAGGACTTGGCTCCGTGTCAAGTGACCCGCCCAGCCCAGCTCAGGGCGCCGGGCCTCTGCTCTGGCCGGGCGCAGCCCACGCTTGGGGTCGGCAGGAAACACCCCTGCCCACTGTGTGGAGTTTTTCTCGTGTCTCAGGTCTAAAGGCTTTGAACAGAAGCCTGTGCCCGTTGAGCACCAGGGCTGAGGTTTAAAGAGGGACAGCCTGCCAGGGCCCAGTGCTGCCCACAGGGCAGGGCTACCCTCCATTCCTGCCACCTGGCTGTGTGACTGCAGAGTGTGGGTCTGGGGGTGGGGGCGTGTGCCTGTAGCTTACTGCCCCTCAAGAATCAGTGGCTCTCCCTCTTTAAACCAAATCGGACGCCAGATGGGTAAGTGTAACCCCCGTGGGCCTCCCGCCGCTGGGACCCTGCTCTCCTGCACCCCAGCCACCCTGTCTAACCACGTCTGCTATGCTTCCAGGAGTCAGGGCTAAAGGTCAACCAGCCAGCCTCTTTTGCAGTCAGCCTGAACGGGGCCAAGGGGGCGATCGATGCTAAGGTGCACAGCCCCTCGGGAGCCCTGGAGGAGTGCTATGTCACAGAGATCGACCAAGGTGAGGCTCTGTCCCTGCCCGGGCCACCCACCCATCTTCCCTGGCCCTGCTGGGAGCAGCGGGCCTGCCCAGCTGGCTGGAAGCAGAGTACAGAAGGAAGGTACAGATTCTGCAAGCAGGTTCCCAAGCGCTGGGGCTCTCCCAGCCGGGCAGCCCCTCCCCTGCTCACGACCCCAGCCCTGGGTGGGGGGCGGCGGGTCTGCTTGGAAGCCACAGCTTCTAGGAAGGAGAACGCCTTCTGCAGGCAATATGATGCGGTCTCCTGAGGGAGAGACCCGAAGTCTAGCCACGGGGCTGGCACCTGCAGACAGGCCCGAGGCAGCCAATGTCGCCAGTCCCACAGCTAGTCGTGCCCCTGCACAGCCCCATGACCTCCGTGCCCCTGGTAACAGGCAGGGGCTGGCATCTGTGGTAACCTTTTTCCAGAGGCAGAGAGGCAAGTGCTTTGCCTGTAGATTTCCGTCCAAGTGAGCACCGACAGCAGGCTGCTTGGGCGTTTACCGCTTCAGTCCTCCGGTTTGGGGAGGCCTGTGCCATGGGGTGTGGGTGCCCGGTGTGGTCCCCAGAAGCAGCGGAGTGGGCCACGTGGACCTCCTGGACTGGTGGGCGAGGGAACCTCTTCACAGATGCCACCTGCTCGGTTTTCGGAGAGGGATGTCAGGCCCTCAGCATGCCCTTCTGTCCCTCAGATAAGTATGCCGTGCGCTTTATCCCACGGGAGAACGGTGTCTACCTGATTGACGTCAAGTTCAACGGCACCCACATTCCTGGAAGCCCCTTCAAGATCCGAGTTGGGGAGCCTGGGCACGGAGGGGACCCGGGCCTGGTGTCCGCCTACGGAGCCGGCCTGGAAGGTGGTGTCACAGGTAGGTCAGTGGATGCGGTTTCCGCTGTGTGGACACCGATGCTAGGCCCCCTCCTCCAAGCTGTCAGTGACAAGAGGAGGTGTAGAGGTGATGAAGCTACGCCGGGGGGCTGGGGGGCTGGGAGTGGGGGGATGGGGAAGCAGGCCGGGCCAGCTCTTCCTCACCGCCCCCCGCCAACCCCAGGGAGCCCAGCTGAGTTCATCGTGAACACAAGCAACGCGGGAGCTGGCGCCCTGTCCGTAACCATTGATGGGCCCTCCAAGGTGAAGATGGACTGCCAAGAGTGCCCTGAGGGCTACCGGGTCACCTACACCCCCATGGCACCTGGCAGCTACCTCATCTCCATCAAGTACGGTGGCCCCTACCACATCGGGGGCAGCCCCTTCAAGGCCAAAGTCACAGGTAAGCCTGGCAGCAGACTGCCAGTGCCCAACGCAACGCCTGGCACTCTGGCTACCTCTTAGCGCCCCCCCCC